CACCCACCCACACCCACACCCACACCCACCCACACCCACACTCACACCCCACCCTGTAGGGAGGGTCATATGAAAAAAACTGAAAATCGGTTTGTGGGTTTGTCGGGGTCAAAAAAACATCTATTTTAAGCGCTCCCCTATAAAGGTTGACGAAAGTAAATCGGGGTCGGGGAATCCGAATCTGAAGTCAGATTTTCAAAATTTTGAACTGAATATTTTGGGTCAAGGGAAGGGTGTTTTAAGAAAATAACGATATTTTATAAAGGTTGACGGAAGTGAATCGGGGTCGGGGAATCCGAATCTGAAGTCGGTTTCTCAAAATTAGGAATTGAGGTTTTTCCCGCTGAGGAAAGGTTTTCTTGGGAAACTAATGATATTTTTTTTAAAGGTGGATAAAAGTAAGGCGCGGTCGCAGAATCCAAGTCTGTAATTGATTTCCCAAGATTTCATATCCATAGCTGTATGTGAAAAACTTGATTTCATGAAATAATCATAGTTTTCGCACTGAACTGTTCTTGTAGGAACAAATTATGTTTTCCGCTAGTTATTTGAAAAAATGAAAGTGAAAATTTGTGAAATCCTTTTGTGAATTCGGATTGTTCGATTGCGCTTTATTTTTTAGAATATCTTCGAGGTGTAGATGGGAGTGTGTGGCAGTGAAGTGAGAGTGTCAGTAACTTTCGGTGTCATAGAGCAGTACTCACACAACACTGACACTGACACTGACAATATACTACATTGATGGATTCCTGTTTATTCTTTGTTTTTTGAGTCAAAGATCTTGGTTCTATATAATCTGCTTAACCCGGGAAAGCTAGTATAAAATGAAATTTCTAATGAGGTTACAAACTTTAGTGTAAATACAAAATAACCAACTATTGTTTTTATGTATTCATAAAGTGCAGCAAGCGACCGTGAGCGAGGCCCAAGAGAGGCGCTGGCGAAAGACTGATTCCTTATTTTGCAAACGCATTGTAATGTTGCTTTAGAAAAGGATTTTTATGAAAGCGAGATTTATTGAGAATAGCCCACTAAGATTCTCTGAATCGGAAACCCTAATAAAACTCTAACCTGTTTGCTAAACAATTAGATCGTAGATATAAGGAATAGATAATAACAACGTGTCGCTTGGGAGGTGCACATCAAGAGTCTTGTTGTTATGAATCTAGCGGTTTTACTAAGTAAGAGTAGCTTGGTATTTAATAGGATGTGAATCAAAAAGAATTATCTCATGGGAGAATAGGATCACACATGGCAGTGAATAGTCATTGCACTGAAAAATTCCTTTACGAGGGACGTCAAACTATCAGAATTCAACGGAAAACGTTAACGGTCTAGATTTGGTGGGCTTCAGTTGGGACTGAACATGAGAGAAAACATGTAAATGATGTCATATTTTTTATATTAAATGGACAATAAAAAGCTTTTGTTCAAATGCACTGGTGTAAATGGATTCGCTAGCCCTTGGTGGCATCCCAAAGAGGTGCCGGCAAATCATTAGTCGTTCACATTGTGAGCATATTGGAGACTTATTTCATAAAATATCCGTGTAAAGGCTAGATTTTCTTAAGAAATCTGCACTAAGATTTGCTAAACGAGAATCTTTAAGAAAACTCTGATTGTCTAGCTAGGCAATCAAATTGAAAAAATGAGAAATATTATACGAGAAAGCGTCTCTTTATAAATTTCCGTCGAGAATTCACGTACAATAGATTAAACGAATTTTCAAAGTAAGCTAACCCTGGGAGCATGTGGAATTTAAATAGAAAGGGATGGTGTTATGGAGGTGTGGAATTATGCGTGACAGCAGCTAGTCGTGAGTGGCGCTCCGGAGGGGCGCCGACGAACGACTAGCTGCTGCACTGAATGATTTCTTGAAGAGCTGCTTCAAATTGTTGGGATTCATTGAATAAACGTCAACTGTCGCCATCTAATGGGTTTGAATAAGGAATAGCAGAGGAAAAAAGCTAAAAAACATTATCAATTGAAATATGAGAAAACATTTTGGTGTTTGGACACAATATTTGAATAAGTCATTAGACGAAAAACATTACTCAAAGAATTCATATTTGCTGTATCGGAAGCGAATATGAATGAAATAGAGAATTGTTCTGTTGGTATATGTTCTTGTCCGTATCCATTCAAGTATTTCAATATGTACTGATATATTCAAATCACCTATCTAGTCTGATCGTTGTTTTGAATAGAAACTTCTTTTAAGAGACGTTCCATGAGAGCAACGACCTAGCCTGCATACGGCAAAATTTTGATTTTGAAATGAGCCTGCCCATTCGATAGAGCGTAAAAAGTTATGGTTAAAACCAAATTTTTAGTCCTTTCTGACGATCCTATCAAGAGATATGAGTTAATCTTTAAACCCTCCCTCAAGTCCTACTCGTGAAATTTGATGATTTTTTGAAGTTTTTATTGTGGACCTTATAGGTTTATCGAATGATATTGAAGACCCCAACATTTTTATACCAAAAGATGCGTCTTGATGAGATCTATCACATTCACGAGAAAAAAACGAGATGTTGATAGAAAAATCTTCATTAATCACTATTTTACCGCTGTTTTTCATGAAAAAAATTCGATTTTTTTGGGTGAAATTTGCATGTTTTTACCATGAAAAGATATCAAGACAACTTCTTCCCAAAATTCTTTTTATACCAAAAGATAGCCCTTGAAAAACTGCATCTTTTGGTAGGTGAACGACTGAAAAAAAAACTTGCCGAGTAAATAGAATTTTTCACTACAAAGAGACGTACTATAACACTTTTTCTATAATCTCTGATTTCTATGGATTTTTCATGAATTTAATGAACTCCTGCGGTTATATAGTTTAGAATTGTTTTTCAATGCTAAAAGATAAGTGTATATCTCTCTGAAAAAACCTTTCTTTCAACTAATGATATATACAAGGTCCGTTGAACCTATAATCTACTCGATATATCCTAATTATCAAACTGAAATTCATTCATACATTACTATAAAATTGAATTTTCTTTTTCAAATCAATAAATATAACTGTTTATACAGTAACTACATTGATTTTTCTCCTCATACGAGAAGTACGTCGTCATATCTGTCTTACTATAAATGATCTATGTCAATGTTCAAATTGTTTTTCTTTGAATTCGTTTGATAAACGACTTCATTCTTTCTACCATGATTATTGTCAATTCTTTAATCTGATGCAATTATATGAAATAAAAGTAATAACAATCCCCAGAATTCGCAGCAAAAAGCATTGATTTAACTGCAAATTATTTATCATGCTTTCAAAGTAATTATGCAGTATGTGTTATAATCATATTTTTGATGCATAATTTTTTTTACATTTGAAAATGTATCGACATCGAATTTGGTTCAAGTCTTCAATAAAAATATATTGAAAAACAATATGTTCAGCATGAAACACGAATTTTTAGTCTACTTGCTGTTCAATAGCGACACATACCATGGATTTTGCTCATCCTTTGATGCGGGCGTGTTTTTTTTGTCGTTCTCTTATTATTGTCTGCTATGTGTCCTTCTCATCTATATAGGCCAGACAAGAATCAGCTTTGAACATATGTTATCAAACGTATGCATATATATATATATATATATATATATATATATGGGTGTGTGTATACTGAACCACATTTTGTTTCTTTTTCTCCTATCCCATAGGATCACTAACTATGTGAAACCAAGTGTTCATGTTCATGAGAGACGGTCGTATGATAACTAGCTATGATATTCAAGTAGATATGAACCGATTCATTTTTAATATGCACATGATATACTTTATCGTATCTGTAAATATATAGATACAATAAATATGACTAAGTTATTTTAGATTCTCTCAACAAATAAGTTCTGTATCAATATACTTCATTTCCGTATCGAACTCAGTTTTAATATATAAAATTCATATATTTTCTAATCTTCATCATAAAAAAATATCAAACCAGATTTTTGATATCAAACTTTAATCGAAAATATCTTCTCGTATGTTCTTTTTTATGTCAATACATATTCTATCTATTTTTCATTTTCATCCAGTGACAAATATGACTATGGAGGTTGATTATGTTGGTAATTGTTTTTTCAATTCAACTGTTTCGATGGTAGGAAAGTTTGTTTTGTAATTTTACATTAATTTTTTCTTTAGATTCAATGTGATGGGAGTAAACATGAGCTCAAACGATTTATGGAATCATCTACCTATCCTAGCGGTTTTCAGTCTATGCTCGAATATTTGTTCTTTCGAGCTGGACTATTCGATCTAAAACCAATAAACTTATATAATCAATTTATTTGCTCGAGTCATCTAAAATATTTGAAAACAAATGATAAAAAACGATGTCATACATGTATATCTATAAGAAAAGAAGATGTTACAAGTACTAGTGATATTCGAAATATTTCAAAGCCAGTTGCACTTGGTATTTGGGAGGAAGGTTATCCTAAACACCGATGGGCATTTTATGATAAACCAGTATGTGGTAAATGTCGAAAATATTTTGAAAGTAAATATTTGACGAAAGAGATGCGCTGTAAGGCTGATACAATTTTTGGTAAGACGAATAATTAAAGATAACTTTATTTATATTGAATGCTTAGCTTGGATTTATGATGATAATGATATTTTTCATTCGCCTATATCATCTGATTCCGAAGATGATGATTATCGACCGGCGATTGACGAGCTCGACCAATCGATATTCACTGATAATTTTAATATTCTGAAAAAATTTCTTCAAGATACAGGTTTTGATGGTCGAATAACTAAAACATTTTCTTACGCCAATCTTCAACCACGTAGTCAGTGTAATTTTCGTTGCCAATCAAGGAAAATACTCTCTCACGTTTTGAACATCCTTAGTGCAAAAGAAGCTGATATTATTTGGAAAGATTATATGAATGATGAATATGAAGATTATATTGATGAAAAGTAAAAGAACAAAAGCTTATATAGAGTAGACTATTGTTTCCATTTCTTAGTAATTTTGATACGACAATGACTGCCATAGATACTGCTCTGACTAATGCTGATCATTACTCGATCAAAAGACAAATCTTAGGTATTGTTGCTGCTGATTTTCCATCTGGTGTGCTTCGTGCTCATCTTCCAAGTGTTAATAGTTATCAAATAAAAGCTGCACGTAAACATGCATATAGTAAAGGTAATATAAATGAAAAGATATTGAAACAACTAGATTTACCTAGTATTGAG